TACTGTCGGGCTGGGAAGTTGGCTCAGTGGTAGAGCGCTTGCCTTGCATGCATGAGGCCCTGGGTTCAATTCCTCAGCACGACATAAGCAAAAAGAAAAAAGCCAGAAGTGGCGCTGTGGCTCAAGTGGTAGAGCGCTAGCCTCGAGCTGAAGAGCTGAGGGACAGTGCCCAGGCCCAGAGCTCAGGCCCCACAACTGGACCAAAAAAAAAAAAAAAACAGAAATCTTATACTGTCACTCTTGAGGCATGATAGAATTTGAGGGAAAAGGAAGGCAAGGAGAAGGTCACATGCTCTAGAGCTATGTGATTCCATGTTCATCTCAGACAGGGTGAAGCATCGCAGGTACTCCTTTTCTGAAGAAGTCACTCTTGCTTGAGTGACTGATAGCCCACATTTTCCTTTGGTTCTTCTTAAGGAAACTTTGGAGGGCACATGTTTTGGAAGCAGGATGATTATCCACTGTGGGCTTTGGATACCCAGGACATCCCCTAGAGTCCAAGCTTTCTTTGCCAGCTTCCCCTAAATACAGGTATTATGGAATGACAAAAGGACTATCTCCTTCTTCTTTCTGGGGCCATCTCCAGCAGCACCTTGTTGCCACAATGAAATACACACCATGACTTTCCAATTTGTTACAAAACCCTTCCCAGGTGATGTTTTGAAAATGTCACTTGGATATTATCTCCTTGGGTGGTAATCTGATGCTTAAGAAAGTTCAAATTCTGTCCTTTTTTCTGATTAGAAATTACAGCAAACCAAAAAGCAACAACCAGTTTGTGTGGTAATAAATAAAAAATAAAACAGAAAGTCACCCTCTCCCCCCGCCACACACACACACAACTGGAGGATCCATATGTCTTGGTTTGGCTGGAGTTGTATAATTGCTGGGTACAGTTTTTGTTTTGTTTTAGATTTTTCTCTGCTATCGTAGAACCTAGACCATCATGCACAGTAGGCGAACACTCTACCACCAAGCTACCCCAGCCCTTGAGTAGAATTGCTGGTAGAGCTTCCTCTTGCTGCTGGAGGGGGTCTCATTTCAGCATACACTATCAAGAGGTGAGTTAAAGGCTGAGTAAGAGTGAAGTTGACTCTATTTTGGGTTCTTAAGTAAAGTTGGGATGAGATAGTTCTTTCCTCAGGATTGTTTTAAATGCAGTTAGAGGTGAAAAAATACTATAAATACAAATCTATACAGAACTATCAGCAAGAACAATGATAATCATATTGGGTGGATTGTCAATGGTTCAAATTATCTAACCCTGAAGGCAGCCATTTTGGGGGCACATGAAGGAAGATATATCTCCCTTTATCTTACAACTTGGATTCTCCCTTTAAGGTCATCCACCACAGAGTAGAAAAGAAATCACTATGATAATGGAATTTCACCCAGTGCTAGCCAGGAACTAAACATCACTCAGTTCCTGCACATGCTCCAGCACCCCTGAGAGGTGGCAATGATCATGTCCACTTTCCAGATGTGGGAACAGAGGCATAAAGATTTCAAGGATCTTGCCCAAAGTGTTGTTGTTGTTGTTGTTTATAGTTTGTTTTTGCAATACTGGTGTTTGAACTGTGGTTATGAGCTTTCTAGGCAGGTATTATATCACTTGAACCATTCCTCCCATCCTTTCTGCTGTTTCTGTTTTCAGAATAGGGCCTTGTTTTTGGCTGGGGCCACTCTGGACCACATTTCTCCTATTTACAGGTTTCTGAGATGACAATTGGGCACCACACCCAACATTTCTTGGTTGAGATGTAGTTTCATGAATTTTTGCCAGCCTCAAGCCATGATCCTCTCCATCTCTGCTAGGATCCTTCCAAGTAGCCAAGGTTACAGGCATAGTCACGGCCCCTGGATTAGAGTTGGAATTGAACCCACTCTAAGCTATCATTGTATCCATGATCCATCCATGCTTTTTGCCCTAACTACAAAGTGTGTCCACTCTGTTCTCTACTTCAGTCGCTTAGCGCCTGGTGGCTTGTGGTTCTTGCTGATGGTATCTTATGAGCCCCAAAGAATACGTTGTGCAGACCCTCTGCTATCCTCTGCAGAACCAGGTTGCTGGACAGACTCCGGTCAGTTCTGGCCTCGACATTGATGCAAGCTCCCTGCTTCTTCATGGTTTTGGAAGAGGGCAGCAGGCACACATGGCACACCAGTCCTCTGTAATCTTAAAAGTTCTGATGATACCTGTGCTGCAGACACACCTCACTCACTCATTTCCCCAGCCTCAGCAAGGCCTGTTCTCCCAGCTTCTCTCTCTGGAAGCTTCCTGCCCTCTCACTGACACTGCCATGTTCAGCCATTCCTTGCCTCCCTTAGATGTTAATCTCATCCTTTCTCTATGATTTGAGTTGGTCACATTTGTTTGCCTGTCTAGGTAGTGGTGACAGTGGCAGAGCCTCATAGCCCTGCCTAACAGTAGGCCATCATTTTATATCAAGGCACCTCTGAATTCTCCATGGATGCTGTGCCCTTGGCTGTGCTTGGCATAGGAGAGATATTCTCCATGATTATCTATTGACTGAAGGAGGGACCGCATGAATGCTCCCTCCCCAGGAATGCTGGATTTAGGATGTTCATAATATTCTACCAATCATGTTCATTTTTATGAACTACTTACTCTGTCTGTGTAAAAACACATAAAATGCATATCTAGTTTCTTAAATCCTAGCTTTCCAAAATAAGTTTCAGGTGTCTGCTCGTGTAGGGGAAAAGGCAGAATTAGGAAACTTTAGGAAGGACGCTTTCTTTCTTTTTCTCAGAAAAAGAAACTTTAGGAAGAAAACTTTAGGAAGAACATGTTCTTTCTTTTCCTAAGAAAGAAGAGGGCTGAGGGTTAAATAGGCAGAGAGGACCACAGAGGAGGGGAATCCAAGAAGGGGGACAACCCCCAGCAACTCCACATTGAGCTCAAAGGAAGTGATCTATGGAGAGACTGTTGCAGGCTTTCCTCTTGAGACTGAAATACAAGTTTCCTTCGCCAGCTTCCCCTAAAACACCTGCATTACAGAATTACAAAAGCACCATCTCCTTCCTCTTTCTGGGGGTACATTTCTCACCATAAGGACAATGAGGTGAATGGGACCAGAGAAAAAGACAGACACTTAGGGAATGATAATAAAGTAATGGAAGACTTTGGAGACCATGCCTCTTTTTTTCCCTTTCCTTGTGTCTCCTTTTTTGTTTATTTATTTGCCAGTACTGGAGCTTGAACTCAGGCCTGCACACTCTCCCCTCCCCACCTTTTTTTCTTGCTCAAGACCACTTAGCCCACAGCTTCTTTTTCAGCTTTTTGGTGGTCTCTTGGATTTGTCTGCCTGGGTGGCTTTGAAGTTTAATCTTCAGCTCTCAGCCTCCTGAGTAGCTAAGATGAAAGGTATGAGACACCATTGCCAGCTGGCCACATCTCAATGAGCCCATTGGAAAGGTTGGAAGGAACAGGGTTTAGGGTCAACTATTGTTTTGAGGTTTGGTCACACCTGTGCCCCCAACCCCAAACCTGAATGAAAAGCAATGAGTGATGGACAGTTTCCACGTCCTTCTTCAAAAAGCCACCACCACTAGTCTTACAGTTTCATTTTTCTGACCTTCTCCCTGCCATTACCCCTTAGCCACCCAGCATGGGAGCTGAGCCAATCCCACCTGAACCATCTAAATAATCCTGTCTAATAATCTAATAATAATCAAATAATCTAATAATCCTAAGGTTTGATGGGGCTGGTTGGGACTCATGAAGGCCTCTGCCCCCAGAGTGGCATTAGCACCAGCCTACTCTTTAGGAGCATGTATCCTTTGGAAATAATTGTCCAAAGCAAAGCCCATTTCACCAATTCTTCCACATTCTATGCCACACAGGGTAGGGACTACCTGCTGGGTGTCCAGCACTGAATGCCAGAAGCTCACATTTCCTGGCATTTGGGGACAAGAGCAATCCCAGTCTGGTACCCTGTCCTTCCTGACTAACAGAACCAAGATGGTGAGACCCTTCAGGTCACTTGACCTAACCAGGGTGCAAAATGTGGCAGCGGCGAGGGGGGGGGGGGACTGAGCACCTCTTCTCTGCTATGGTTATGGGCTTGGGAGCTTCCATTTGTGTCTACTTCACCTCATTTCCACACAACTCTCAGGATCCACTGTTGTCATCGGAAAGGGGGAAACTGAGGCACAAAACCACCCAGCACCCAGACCCTAAGCCTGCCTCTGACAGATCTGTAATTCTCCTCACCTTCTACCTTCAAAACGTCAGTTTATGGATGGGGAAGGTTTTCGTGAGAATTAAGAGGGGCAGAGGGTAGGGATGTCAACATCTGGGGAAATAAACCCTGCATTGAAGATAATCCTGAAGCAATCCCAGACATGGCTTTATCCAAACCAAGGAAGATCCGGGAACTCAGCTCCCTCTACTGCTACAGATTCCCCCCTAGCCTCCTTTCCCCCCCCCCCCCGCCCCCACGCGGAGAGCAGCAGGAGAAGGGACCAAAAACAGCAGAAGACATGGTGTGAGACCAGGGTCAGCAGAGAAGCAACTCCAGGTAGAGGCAGAAAAGGATCCCTAGACCCGGCTGCCGATCAGAGTTTGAGGGGCGGAGCCGGCAGCGAGGAGGGGGCGACCGCGGTGGGAAGACTCAGCAGAGACCCGAGACCACTGCAGGGGTGGACACCTGGCACCCAAGAGCCGGCTGGAGGGGGGGCGCGCGGGGAGGATTGGGGTTCGCCGGCCGAGGCAGTGCAAGCCAGCCGGACTCCCGCAGCCTTGAGGTGCGCGGCCGGCAGGCACAGGGATTGGCGGGTGCTCACGGCCCCGGTACGCCGCCCCTACTTAGGCGGAGCAGGCTGAGCGCTGCGCGCGTCTGCGCACGCGAGGGAGACCCCCCCTCTCGCATTCCCACCACCCGACCCTGCTGCCCGGCGTCTCTTGCGCTGTGTTCAATCTGCTTTGCTGTGCATCGCCACCCTGAGCCAGCACCCCCTCGGGGTGGACACCTTTCACTATGAACGTCCCGGCGACGCTGTCCCCCGGGGTAGTGGAAGGACTTGAGACCACCTGGTCTTTGGCAGCAGTCAACGCCAGCAGTGCCCCCACCGAGGGAGAGGAGGCGGCGAGCTCCGACGGTCCCGGGACAGCGGGCATGGTCACCATCCAGTGCATCTACGCGCTCGTGTGCTTGCTGGGCCTGGTGGGTAACGCCCTGGTCATCTTCGTGATCCTTCGCTATGCCAAGATGAAGACGGCCACCAACATCTACTTGCTCAACCTGGCCATTGCGGATGAGCTCTTCATGCTGAGTGTGCCCTTCGTGGCCTCCTCGGCCGCCCTGCGCCACTGGCCCTTTGGCTCGGTGCTGTGCCGCGCTGTGCTCAGCGTGGATGGTCTCAACATGTTCACCAGTGTCTTCTGTCTGACCGTGCTCAGCGTGGATCGCTATGTGGCCGTGGTGCACCCTCTGCGAGCCGCCACTTACAGGCGTCCCAGCGTGGCCAAGCTAATTAACTTGGGCGTGTGGCTGGCATCCTTGCTGGTCACTTTGCCCATCGCCGTCTTTGCTGACACCAAGCCTGCTCGGGGCGGTCGGGCAGTGGCTTGTAATCTGCATTGGCCTCACCCAGCGTGGTCAGCGGTGTTTGTGATCTACACATTCCTGTTGGGCTTCCTACTACCTGTTCTGGCCATTGGCCTGTGTTACTTGCTCATTGTGGGCAAGATGCGCGCCGTGGCCCTGCGGGCTGGCTGGCAGCAGCGGAGGCGCTCGGAGAAGAAGATCACTAGGCTGGTGCTCATGGTCGTCGCCGTCTTTGTGCTCTGTTGGATGCCTTTCTACGTGGTGCAGCTGCTCAATCTGTTTGTCACCAGCCTTAATGCCACCATCAACCATGTGTCTCTCATCCTCAGCTACGCCAACAGCTGTGCCAACCCCATTCTTTATGGTTTCCTCTCTGACAACTTCCGCCGTTCCTTTCAGCGGGTCCTCTGTCTGCGCTGCTGTCTCCTGGATGTGGCCGGAGGTGCTGAGGAAGAGCCCCTGGACTACTATGCCACGGCTCTCAAGAGCAGAGCAGGGGCAGGGTGTATATGCCCTCCACTTCCCTGCCAACAGCAGCCCATGCCAGCAGAACCCAGCCCCAAACCTATTCCCCTCACCGGAACCACCACTTTCTGAAGACTTTGCACCTCCCCTGGTCTGATCACTTCTAAGGGGTCTGCACCATCTGTATGGTCAAGCAACTGTGTCTCCTGGATGCTCGCACAACACCCCACCCGATCCCACCAAAGCCCTCTCCTTCTGCAATCTGTGTACCATCTGGAAGAGCAGCAAATCTCCTCTGCTGCTCCCCTGTCCCAGGACTAAGGCTTTCTGGATGCCTCTGTGGGGGTAGGACTTCTTTGGGAACTGGGCTAGCGTTCTGGTGGTTCCTTAACTTCTGGCTGTTTCTCTCTGGGTGGAAATAGGAAGAATGGCCACCTGTGTGTGACTTGTTACCGTGAGTGTTTGGGGGAGGACTCGGGAGGGTGGTGGAAGATGTCAGTGTTCTTTCCTGTGTGAGCCCTTTGCCTCCTGTAGGGGATGTGGCGTGCATGAAGAGAGGAAGATGCTTCCTTGGCATCTGTTGCTGGGCTGTTGTTGCTAAGGGAGATTCTGTACAACAACCTAGGGCACTTGTATTATCACCCCTGCTTGCAATTGCTGCTGTCTCTTAGGTTGTCCAGGGCCAGTAGCAGACTTCCTGTGAGTGGAAAAGTTTTGCAGAGACATGTCTGCTACAAGGCATAAAACCCCACGTCAGGAATAAATGAAAATGTTTAAGAAAAAGCAGAGGATCAAAATTTCATCTAGTTCTTACGTTGTGATTTTTCCCCCTGTTTTGGATGTTGAAAACACATGATTTCCATTAAAGTCCCAAACTTATACCATGGTGGAATGTGGGAAGGGAAGGGAAAAGACCTAAGAGCCAAGATGGAGAGATATCAACCCCCAAATTGGGATAGAGGAGGCAACTCTTACCAGGTATTTCAAAATATCAGAAGTAGTTAAAACATCAACCGGATGTAGCTATCACATGCAAGCTATCTCTTTTTTGCAGGCTAGGTCAACCACAGCATGAGTTATCTTCCCCATAAGGAAATGGCAAACTTATAAGTGTTTTACTTCTGCTAGGCAGAGAGAAGGAAATTAGTGCAACACTTATACTGGCCTCTGCGTGAGAGGGTGCTTGATTACACAGATATGGGGCACTAATTGGGGGAGCCCACTTGGCTACACAGTACTTACAGGTTTGGCTGACCACATCATGAAAGTGACAGGAAGATAGACCATGAGGTAGAGAGAGGAAAGTCAAAGGGTGAACCCCTCCCCTTTGTCCTAGGAATGGTCACCTTTGTAGCACCATGTCTTCCTGGCAGGAGACCTTCAAGAGAAAGTGGATCTACTAGCCTTGCAGACAGACTTTGTGTCTTCTAGGGTAGCCTCCATGTAGCTCTAGGATGGTACTGGGGACTATTGGGAAGCAAATGGATATTCAGGCAGGGCAAGGCCTGAAAGGGTGACTTAATGTCACCGGGGTATCATCTATGAGAGCCTGAAAAAGCAGGAGATGGAGTGTTTCTATTAGAGTCAGAGCATTATGTCTACTGAGGGCAGATGTCATATTCAGGTAAGAGACAAAAGAAGGCTGAGTTCTGGTCTCAAACATGAGTGCCATGGAATCTAAGCAAAGGACTCAACTTCAGGTCTTCAGAGTTCATGCCTTTACAGTGACTCTGGTATCTACTCTTGTTCCCATAGAACTGTAGATCCCAACTTCTTTGTTGTAAAATGAAAAGGGAAATCCTTATGGCAGCTGTTCTTGGGCATAGGACTGCTAGATGCTTACCTTCTCCAAATGATAAGTCCAGCTGGAAGATCTAAGAGTGGTAATCTGGGTTAATCCCGTGTGTCTCAGAGCTCAGGGTGGGTGAGAAAAGTATACAGGTCACTAGGATCTGCTCGCTCAAGTAAGTGATTCTTTATCCATCCTTGACAGGACTCTATAGCCAAGACTCTGCAGTATATTAGATGCATGATTGTAGATTGGAAGTTCCTAACAGAGACACTGAGCCCTTTGATCCTAGAAATACACAAACACACATATACATGACTATACACCAACACACAAACATCAGTGATTTCTAACTTGTCAGTACCCCCAGAGCCATCCTAAGTCATCCAGAACAAGGCACTTTCCTGATTGTGGAAGTCTTAAAACTATTTGTTCTCAGTAAACACTAGATAAATGTGATTGCACTTCACTGTGAGGTCCACTTAGGACCTTGTCAGTAAGTGAGAAGTTCCTGACACTGACAGTGGTAAAATGGTCAAAGGATGCTGGGCTTTTGTCCTAGTCTGGGTGAAGCTGGAGTCCTCTTCAGCCTCCCAGTTATCCACATGGACACAGTGTCATGCTCAGCTACCCAGGTTAGTACAGAATAAGATGTTCTATTGTTACGATGCAGCCTTTTAAATTAATTGATAAGGGTTGAAAGATAAACAGGTTGGGGCTAAGGGAAGGAAAGATACTGAGAGCAGTGGAGGGCCTCAGTTTTAACTCCACCCATGAGCCGGGATTTCAGCTTTCCAGATCCCAGTTTCTCACTTGAAGTAAGTGCAAAGGGAAATTTTTGAGGGTTGAACTCTTACCAGTCATAAACTCTGCTTTCTCAAGGCCCCTGGAGAGATGTGCTGAGGTCGGAAGGGAGAGAGGCAGCACAACATTCTTCCACACTTAGCACTTGGTGATCTGTGAGCATTGTACTGCGTTGGCCCTGTAGTAATAAATCATGCAGGCATGGTGGTGGCAAGGCCTGAGCCTTTGTCTCAGGATATGTCTAGAGCTAGTCAACAGTCCTGCTGGCTGGCTTTAGTAGCATCCACCCCAATAGCTTTGCAATAACTGGTTGCATAAAACCTTCCCTTGTGGTAACTGTGCAGGAAGACTACAGATAGTGAAATCAGTGAGCCATACAGCCAGGATCCTCAAAGCTGGTTCCCTACCTGAAAGCTCACTGCAGAGGCATACTTGGACAAAGGTTTTGCTGTATGTGCTAGGACTAGAAATCACAACTTTGGAAAGAAACATTAAAACACACACACACACACACAGAAAGAGCCTCTGATCACCACTCAACCTATCAGATATCTGGCTTTGTGTTTTAAGTTGTCTTTAATGTATTGTACTGTGACAAGCAAGGTGTTGAACTTTCCCAAAAGATGAGGAAGATAGCATTTGGACATGGAAGATGGGCACTCATCAGAGCTCCTGTCCAGCTAGGTAGCACTCCATCTTTGAGTAAAGAGGAAGATTGCTATTATTTGCAAGTAAATCCTGGCTTTGCTTCCATTGAAAATGTCATACCTAATACGTTGCTTTTTAGGTCCTGAAGATAAATGCCAAGAATAAACCAAAGGTGACATAGGTGAACCTCAAAAACTGGATGTGATTCCCAGAATATTTGGAAACTCCTGTCTGATTTTAGGCTGTGAATCACCCTGTTTTTCAGTCTCTAATCCTAAAAGGATGATATAGCAGCACCTGGAAATTCCTTAAGCACAAATGTTTGCTGAGACAGCCCTATGGTGTTACCTAGTACCACACCTGACACTGCTTTGTAGACCCGTGAGTAGGGGGAGAGGGAGGCACACACACAATGTGCTAAGGAGCTTTCTCAGATGATCCCATCTGTTTCCATATGACACAATGAGTCTACAGAGATGGGGTGGGTGGGGTCCCTACCTTTATGGAGCTTGGGGGTTAGTGACAGAAACAGCCCTATATCAATGAACCACACAAAAGAAAGTAGAAATCCATTTTAAACTAAAGTAAGAATGATGCAGCAAAGGAATTTGGCTTTCATGAGGAGATATAATAGAGAATCTGTCATGTTCTTGTAGCAGGTGTCCCTGGGGACACGTAAGGAGGAAAGGATGAAGCAAGGAAGAGGAAGAAGAGGAGAAGGAAAAGAAGCTGCTGGGGGAGGAGGGGAAGAGATGGGACCGGAGGTGGTGCAGAAATTTCTGTGTGCATTATTATTTTAATCTTTTGTATAACCATTCACATCCTGTGATTTCTTCTTTATGTCTTTTTTTATGGAGATATAATTTGCATATGGTAACCTTCACTCTGCCGGAATGCACAGTTCTGTGAATTTTGATGTACAGCTCCCGTCCTGAAGCTGCCACCCCCCTATCCTGGGGGGTGTTTCTGTCACCATCACCCTGGCTGTGACTCAGGAGATAGACTACAGAGAGCTGAGGGAGGCATCAGGGGAACAGAATTAGGGTGATCTCCTCGCTACCCCTATGGAGGCCACCCTATTATGCCAGTCCCTGAGCTCCCAGGCTCCCCTTAACCTAGGAGATCTCAGGTCACTGAGTCAGAAGTCTGCTGCCCTCAAGTCTGCTGGCTTTAGAAAGTTTACTGGACTCTCAGAGTTACCTGGAAAGCCTGCATGTCTGAGGGTATCTCTGGGCAAATTGCTAATGCGAGCACTGGAGAACGGGTATTGCTTTCCCTTCAAGTTAGGGGCTCCAAGATTCAGTGGGCTGGGAAGGTGGCTCAGTGGTAGAGTGCTTGCCTTGCATGCATGAGACCCTGGGTTCGATTTGTCAGCACCACATAAGCAGAAGAAGCCAGAAGTGGCGCTGTGGCTCAAGTGGTAGAGCACTAGCCTTGAGCTGAAGAGCTGAGGGACAGCACCCAGGCCCAGAGTTCAGGTCCCATGACTGGAAAAAAAAAATAAATTAAATTAAATTAAAAAGATTCCATATTCCTCCAGACTCCGCTCTGTAGAAATAGTCTCTAGTCATTCCACTAGGGCCAGCCTGGAGACAACTTGCCACGCTCTCTGCTGTAGCTTCTCCTTTGTGAAGCTGCATCCTATGCTGCTGGGAGAGAGGCATTCCCCGGCAAACTAAACAGAAAGACTCCCTTTGTGCTTATCCAGATTTTCCTTTCTCTTGGTGTTGGTGGTGGATTTTGGCAGGGTGGCCTTGTAGGAGGAAGGGGAAATAAAAAAACCCATGAGAGGAAAAGTAGAAGTCAAATACCTGCACAAAAACCTACAAAAATATGATGCTTGGGATTTACATAAGCATTTACAAGCAAATATATTTAACAGGAGGGAGCTTATATTTAAGGAAAATGATGTCCAAGTGCTAGGAGATATACCACCTTTGTGGGAGATGGGGTCCCTGTCTTCAAATTCAAGCAGGACCAGGAGGCAGAAGGAAGGGAGAAGACTGAAGAGGCTATTGAAAAGACCCTATTTCTCTCTTCCTTGCTGCCTGGGCTGGAAGGAGACTTTGCTTGGATCCATCAACTAGGTGAGTTAGCAGGTGGGACTTACTTTAGAGAAAAATCTGCTGAGATATCATGGGAGATGTGGTCACTGTGGGAGAGGCTAAGGGGAGACAAGCTACCACAGAAGGTTAATTTCATATTTTAATACAAGATTTTTTTTTCCAAGCAGGGGTTTAAGGAAACTTCTGGCCTATGGCCTGGATGCCACAATCATCAAGAGATCCCATTCCTGAATCTTGATGCTTTCCATTGGATTTCCCCCAAAGCCCTCTGCTAGGAGTGTGTTCTTTCCAGTTCCAGGACTGGAACTGGACTGGGCAGGGCTTTGAGGAAAACCCTCTTCAAGGTTTTTTTCTTTTTTTTTTTTTCATTTTTGTGAATTTCACAATCCCACTTTCAAAGCAGGCTGGGAAGGATTTTGATTCTGTTAGAATCTGGTGTTAAAATAATATTTAGCTTTTCTTGTGAAAGGAAATCAATTGTTTGCCTACCTCTAAAAGTGCTGACCAGAAAGAAGAAAAAAAAAAAGGAGGAAAGACCCACTCAAAACAAAACAAAACAAAAAGATAGTGCTGAACCTTTTTACAGTGGAAAAGAAAGAACCGGCACTGGGTGGGGCCTGTATTATTCTATGAAGAAATGCCTTCAAAGGTCAGGGGATGTGTTTTGGGTAGCCGCCCCCCCCACCCCCACTGAGTCATGGCCATGCTGAAAATGTTTTATTCTTTATAACCTCATTTTCCTTGATGACATAACAAAGCATTCCCCTCCCCCTAACACAAAACAGCAGGAGCCCTCAACATTTAGAAGCCTGGGATTATCTACTGCCTGACTGTCTCCTGCGAAGTGACTCTGGGACCCCCTCTGAAACTCCTGGCTTGGTATCTGCTTCCCTTTAGAGCCTTGAGCAGCAGCAAAGGCAGCTCAGAACCTGTTCTCTCCTCTTCCATGGAGGAAAGCTCTGTTCCCCTAGACTAGAATAGGTCTTATGAACAGAGTGACTAGACCAGTGCTTTTAGAGCTGGACATTATAGCTACTGACAGGTTGCTTCTCCCCTGCACAAACAACTCACTCTAAGCTGAGACGGACACAATCCTACCACTATCAGGGATGAGTCTTGCCCTGAAGGATCTCTTCCCACTTCCTATATAACCTTGACTTTGCCCCCAAAGACCCTCAAGATTGCAATGTAACTTTTTCTTCATTCACTTATATATCCATTAATTCCTTGAGGCATATTGTAATAGAATTAGGCACCTGCTGTAGGCCAAAACTGTGCTCACTCACCTTGTCTAATTCTCATGGGAACCTCATGAGGTAGCACTATTAGTGCCTGGTGTACAGCCTGAGAAGGTTTACATGGTGCCCAGGTCACATAACCTCAGACATCAGGCTAAGATCCAATCTAGATGTCTCTGAAATCTCCATTCCATGTTAGCTCTGTTGGGCCCTGGCAGGTTTCCCCTTCAGGGAGGACAGGTTAATAAGTCTGGAAGTGTCAATTTCCTTTCCAAATGTCAGTCCCACCATGCGCCTATTAAAACTTCTTGAATGGCCCGTGTGCATAAAAGACACTTTTCCCTTCTCCTCTGGACCTCTACCATCATCTGTCTGCACCTGCTTGGCTCCACCCACTGAGCTCTTCATTCACCTGAACTTGATGGACTCCAGAATGGGGATTGTTCCATCTCCAAGGGCACTGGATGTAGGTGTTGCACTATGTCCCTTCAACACATACAAACTCACCACACACATACACACACACACACACACACACACACACACACACACACACAAGCTGTCAGTCATCTTCATCTGAGATACATGGTAAAATCTCCATCTGTGTCTTTCCTCAATAACTGCTCAGATTCACACAGAAATTCAACCTTATCTACCTTTATCTATCTAAATATTTGAACATTTAACTGAACTCTGTTTTTTTCCCCTCATCTCTGCTTTAGGAAAATGTTTTATTATATCCCTGCATGTACAATTCAGCCAGTTCTATCATTCCAGGAAAAGGACCCAAGAAATTTGTGTCATAAAGACAGTATTTCTAATCTCTACAGAGATGAAACTAGTTTAACATGGCATGAGATGTTAATATCTAGAAGCCATCATTTGAATTTGAGCCATTGACCCTTTATGACTCCATAGAGTTTAGATATCTCAGAGAGCAGGTAATGCCATATCAGGGGCAAAGGGGGCACACAGCTGGGACTCCAGAGATGTCACAAGGAAGTCTATTCCTTTAACTCATTCCAACATATGACTCTAGAATGTATTTGAAAACACATAGACAAAGTGAACGTGTATAGAGTTGCTGTGGTTACGTAAAGAAAGAAAAAACAAATAATATTAGCCCACAGAGATAACATGAACTCTTACTTTAAGGATATCCTCTTCTCTGGACTAATACTTGAAAGTCAGGGCTGGTGCCTTGAATAACTGGCATGAGTGATAAAGTGCAGACCAGTCTTTAAATTAGCTATGGTGTTTGCATTATTTATGAACTCCATTTAGTGATATAACACCGGGACTGAGGAAGGGAAGGTGAACTGACACACCATCCAAGATCACATTGTAATCTGTTTATTTTGTACATGTGACATCATAAGCAAGGCTTTTGCTTGTGTTCTAGTTTAACTCCCATAAATAAATAACTATGTACAAATAGGCTGGGTTTATAAAATGGTAGAAGAAAACCTTTACCTTACAAAAGGATACACTCATATGATACATTCTTTCCATACACTGAAGCACGATTTTATTCCTAGCTTACTTGGACCAAAGAACTTCTCAACCCTGTCTAGAAATGTCTACAGGTGTGTACCTAGTTTTTTTCTTTCTTTCTTTTTTAACAGAAAAGCAAAGTTGTGCAATAAAAATTCCTCAGTTTCTTCAGACTAAAAGGCCTAACATGGCCTGCTACTGATTACTGACCCTTACTTAATGTTCTCCAGAAAGTTGGAAACTGTCTAGAACAATTGTCCTCAGATGGCTAGACAAAGCCCCTGTGGATTTGTTAAAATGTAGTTTCTCATGAAGGAGATGGGGTGGAGCCTAGGATTCTGCATTTCTAACCAGCTCCCCTGGGAGGCCCCAATTCTTATCCAGGGACCATGCTTAGAGGACTAGAAAGTCCCTCTGAAATGGGAGAGACTCTCCAAGTGAGAGAAAGCAAGACCCTAACTGGATACTGTCCAGATTCCATTTCCAACCTCCTAAATTCCCCACCCCCAACCAGTAAAGCTGCTTTTATTTTGGACAAGTGGCAGAACAACTGGGAGGCAACTTGGCATGAAGCAGAAGCTCAAAACTTCCTTAAACCCTCACCTTGGAGGTGCTTGTATTTTCTGTCTAGAGCAAGCCTCTGAACATTTTTGACATTGTCCAAAATTAACAACAACAAAAAAAACTATATAAAATGCTTGACAGTAATTACTAATTTTTTCAGTTCAGAACAATAATAACAAATCTCAAACTTGGGGTTTTTAAAAGTGAAGATTAAAAAGAAATTCCTTGCATTTACTTTTTATCACAGCTCCACAATTCAATGATCACCCATCACATTGCCACTATTATTTTTTAAAAAATATTGCTGTTTAAAAAATTATTTTGCTCTGGAAGGCTAACATTTCCAGATAAATTAGCAATGCCGGTGATCAAGTAAATGAGTTCAATGATGTGTGTGTTTGTGTGTGGTGTGTGTATGCGTGTGTGGTGTGTGTATGCATGCTTTTATTTCTCTTTGACATGGAAGTTCTGCCTGGAAAGACAACTTAGAGGAAAGAAATAGTGTTGTAGGAGTGAGGCTGGGGACATGGGAGGGGAGGGGGAAATCAAGGAGAGGGGGAGGAGAGAGAGGAGAGGGGAGGAGAGGAGAGAAGGAAGAGAGAGGGATTAAGGGGATGGAAAGGGAAGAGGGCAGGGAAAGAGGGACAAGAAGAAGGGAAAGTGGGTATTGGAGGCATACAGGTAGGGGGGAAAAACAAGAGAAAGAGGAATAAAAAAACTGAATAGCTTAAAAAATAAATATCTTGGTCTTCACTAATCGTGGTGTCAAGTTCTGCCCCCAAAGCTACAGACCAATCCTGCTCACCCTTCCTGGCCTGAGCCACCTCGAAGGCCGTGTCTTAGTATAAACTTGCCATCTCTGCCCAGTTGTCGAGTGGCATCATGGGAGAGGCTGGGACTACCCTCCTTTGAAACCCCCCTCCTCAGTTACACGGGAGGATGGAGCCGGGTCTTCCCCAGGTGCCACGCCATCTAGGGTGCATTTGAGTCACCACAGAGTAAAAAGCTGAGGGCCAAGGGAGAAGAGAAAGTCCCTAGGAAGGAGGAGAGGCCAGGGCAACATCTGCGCCTCCTCAGAGTTTCTGCAGCGTCCGCTCAGTCCTCACGTTCTGCAGCACGACCTCCTTGGCAGGTGACCCACACTTGTACTCCAGCTCCGCGCGCGCAGTGCTCTGCTTCTTCCGCAGGTGACAGAGGAGCGCCAGAAGGGCCACCACCAGGGACAGGCTGGCGATGGAGATGCCAATGAGCACGCCCGAATGCACGGCCCCGGCGGAAGGGGGTCTCAAAGTGGAGTCAGGTATCCTGGTGCTGAACGGGGGCTCTCCCGAGCCGTCCTCGTAGCCCTTGTTATTCACCACGATGGGGTCACAGTCGGTGCTGATCTGGCCGGCGAAGGGGGAGTCGGGCCCGCAGAGGCATTCAAAGGAGCCGGGGAGGTTGCGACATTCCCCCTTGCGGCATTCTCCTCCATGGCTGCACTCGTCGATGTCCGTGCACATAGAACCCTCGTCCAGGATGAAGCCTTCGGGGCACTCGCAGTATTCGGGGTTGTGGGGGTCGCAGTCCGCGGGGCATGCCGTCTGATTGCAGATCATCTGGCACAGGTGCGGCGTCTGGGGGACGGGCGCGAAGCCTTCGGCGCAGATGCAGCGGTATTCAGTTTGGCTCACGGGCTGGCACTGGTACTCACAGTTCGATCCGAAGCACGGATCCAAGAGCTCCGCGCACTCTCCGTCCACCAGCTCGTAGCCCTCGTAGCAAAGACAATCGAAGCCACCCTTGGTGTTGACGCAGCGCTGCGGGCACGGATTGGGCACCAGCATGCAATCGTCTACGTCCTCGCACTGGTGCTGATCCGCTGCCAGCTTGTAGCCCGTCTCGCACATACAGGAGTAGGAGTCTGGATCGGCGGGGTTACTGATGCAAAAGTGCTCGCAGAGGTCGGTGCACTTTTGCACTGGGGGTGAGGTGCAGAAACGCCCGTCCGCCTGCAGGCCCAGGTTACCCGGGCAGAAACAGCTGGGGGTCCCCGAGCTGGTGTTGCACGCGTACTCGCAGCCGCCGTTCTCCACGCCGCAGTCCCAGGGGCCCGGTGCCTCCCGACTCCACCGCCCCGAGGCAGATCCAGACGGCAACGAACACACCAATGTCAAGCCGAGCGACTCCACCACCACGGAGCTGCCCACGGGAAGCGTTTGGAAGTCCGCGTTGCGGGCCCCAAACGGGGTGATGTAGGTGCTGGAAATAGGGGCGGCCACCTGGTTTCGGGGATTCGCCTCCAGCGGCCTGCAGTAGGCTGCGAAGTGGAACTCGCAGAGGAAGCCATCGGCCTCCGCGGTACACTGGCGCTCCTCCCAGATCGGATCGCTGGGCACGGAGGCCGCTGGCCCCGACACCGTGACGCACAGCGGGCCGCACACTGGAGCCCCGTCGTCGAGCCTCGCCCACCTGCTGTAGCTGGTGTGGTTGTCGCCCGTAACCCACTGGAAGCCGCGCAGGGGCCCGAGATTGCCGGGGCCACTGCAGCCCTGTGGAAGCTGCAGACCGATCCAGAGGTTCGGGCCCATGCTGCTGTCGCCGCTCTGCAGCAGCGTGATGACTTCGGCGGCCACGGAGGAGCGCACGGTCATCAGGTGTCCTTGAAGCCGCTCGCAGGCCTGGCTGGCAGCCAGAAAGTTCACGGGGCCCCGGAAAAGTGCGAAACACTCGTGCTCCACGCACTGGCTGCCACTAGGCTGCGGTTCGATGGGCCCTGAGCTCCCCAGACCAGCCCGTGCCAGCACACCTAGAAGGAGAACCCCGAGCATGCTGTCCAGGACGGGGGTTGCTGCTTGCCAGATCCGGAGAAAGCACGAGGGCTGTGACTTTGTCAGAATCCGGCCGGGACGGAGAGACGCCGCTGATGACAGCCGCGAGCTCCGTGCGCAGCCCAAACACTTCTCCGGCTGCGGCGCACAGTCGCGGTTAGGCGGCCTCTGACATGTCGGGTCCCAGCCGGGGCTCGAGTTTATAAATGTTACGGCCCTCCCTCCCTGGACGTTCGGGAAAAGGAAGGAAGTGCCTGGTGGGACGGGCCGAGGTTGCATTCTCGGATTACTGGGTTCTCCAGGCGCCTTGTGCCCGCCCTCCCGCTAGGATCACCTCGCCGGGATGAGTACACCCCAGCTGGGGCGCAGGGAGGTCCGCGGGCGGGGCCCCGCCGTCCCAGCCTCCGGGGAAGAGACTGTCGGGGTCAGCAAGGCAATTCGCGCCCTGGCCACTTGGGGGCCCGCATGTGAGCCCCTCCTCGATGCCTGAACTCCCTTTCCTTCCCTGTTTTCCCCCACCCTCTCCCCTCCGTAAATGTTCCCGTTGGTTTTAAGGAAAGCCTGAATTACAGGGAGGGCTCTAGGAAGCAGAAACCTAGAAGAGGGCTTTGCATGGCCCGTGAGGGTGGGATGGGGTCGTGCTCAATCCTTGCAGGACTCCAGGAGAGGGGCTGCTAGGTACGAAGATGACATTAGTGGGGAGCAGGGATCTACCTAGGCAATCAATTGCAATAAAGACCGCAGTACAGGAGAGAGAAAGGGAAGGGAGAGGAGGGGAGAAAGGGGAGAGAAGAAGAGAGGAGGGGAGGGGAGAGGAGAGCCATGGCACTGGACCAAATCTGTCAGTGCTTGGTCCCAGAGGACACTTGGATGAAACCGGAGTGACGTCAGAGCCAAGTGACGAGGACTGACCTATTCCCAACAACGCATCTCCAGTTCAGGGATTGCTAGGGATGACGAGTCCCGGGTTTAGGCCCACACCCCACAAAGTCGCGCGAACCCTGTCTGGGCTCTGAGATCCTGCCACTCGTCCCGAGTAGTGGTAGGTGAATTCCTGCGGAGCCGGGTGGGGGCGGGCGTGTCCGTGAGCTCGGGATGCTCACCCACAAGACATAGTCAGGGAGTCCCCGCATGGAGGCGCTGTGAACCCCAGTTGGATCCTCCTTGGATTTCCAGGCGGTTTCCTTCTCAAGAGGACGAAAGGATACCGAGGTGCACAGAAATAGCACTTAGGGCGGTTGGTGAAGGGCCTTGTTGGTGAAGGGCGGTGCCGTGGATCAGCAGGAGCTGGGAGGAATGGGTGGGAAGCGGTCACTTTCGACGTTATCGGGTTAGTCATTTGCCAGGAATGCGGAGGGGTGGGTTCAAAACGAAGCGGAGAGTGGCAAACTTAAAAGAATGACTAAAAGCCACCCTATGTCAACTCGTCACTCCCGCCCAAACGCCAGCAGGTGTCGCTGCTGAACGCCAAACGAAAAGCAAGAAGTTGGAGGGCTCCAAACTTGCAAGGCTGAAAGAGAAAGCTGGGGTGTGGACTGGGGTGGGGTGGGGCGGAGGAGATGGATGACTGAACCTGGAGCCAGAAACTCAGCTACGAGAAGCTCAGCGTGGATTTCATGGTTGATCTGAGGGCTTCGTTTCCTTGGTCCAGTAGAGGCCGGACTTAGTAACTAACAGAAAACTGATGCACCCACCAAAAGGATGGGGTGTGGGAAAGTGACAGGAAGCAGGTAGCCTAGCCACGCTGGGAGAGAGATTTAGGACCCGCAGAACTTGACTATGGCTGAGTGCGGCTCTGTGCTGTTAAAAGCTGTCCCAGGGGGGCAAGAACACCTTAGGGATTGCGGGGGATTGGGGGACCCAGGGAATGCAGGCATTTTCGGTGAGGTGCGCCTTCCCTGGGGAAGGGGAAGGAAAGAGCACTAGACAGGAGAACAGCACTGCCCACCCCCCACCCCCCCAATCAGGGGAGCCAGGACCTATTGACATAGGCAGGAACTCTATTGGGGGAACTGTTGAAAAACCCTCCTCAAAATGGGAAGAATCTCTGAGCGCCAGTGGCTGTAATCCTAGCTACTCAGGAGGCTGAGTGAGATCTGAGGAACCTGATTCAAAGCCAGCCGGAGTTAGGAAAGCCCATAAGATTCTTAACCTCCAATTCACTACCAAAAAGTCGGAAGTGGAGCTGTGGCTCAAGTGGTAGCGTATAGTCTTGAGCAAAAATGCTTAGAGACAGTGACTGAGTCCGAGCCCCAGGATAGGCACAAACAAAAAAGGGAAACATTCCCTGGGGTAGACGTGACAAGATGCTGGAGAGGACTCACTGTGTAGTATAGAGTGTAAGTGTGGGGCCCTTGTTCATTTACTAAGAATTTCAAGATTGTCACATCAGAGCACTAAAGGAAATGGCACCCTTCTGAGAGAGAGAGCTGAGAGCCATTCTGGGGGTGGGAGAGGAGGGGGGGTTGAGCCTGCTAGGCTGGAAAAAGGCTAAGGGACTTCTAAGAATGAGATGGGTCCCAATATTGCAGGGGTTTTAGCTGATTCACCACCACCCCCACACCACCATTTTTGGTTTGGTGTCCTTTCTGGCTTTTCTTGAACCCCAAGGAAACAACTTGGAAGTATGTAAATGTCCCCCACCCCAATGAGTCCACAGTGAACTCAATGATGCCAGGGAAACTTGAACCCAACCCTGTATGAGGAGGCTCTTCTATTTCCAGCTCAGAAAGAAACAAGAACAGCCGCTGAATGGGAGCAGAGCAAGGTCTGAGGATGTGGCAGTCTCTAGGCCACGCTACAGGACACCCCGGGACACCACCCAAAGCACTCTTACCCTATGCCTCCTCGCTTAACCTTTGCCCTTCAGCCTGCATCCCCTTTGCCTTCCAGGGCTGCCTCTGGGAAGGCCCATTTCCTCTTAGCTATCTACCACTGACTGAAGATCCTCTGACTTCTGTTCCAGCCTGTTCCTCCCACTCCCTATCTACATCTCCTCACAAGGGCTTGGATTCTCTAGGATGCTCCAAGCCCTCTCTGTGGAGGACACATCCCCACTCCCCTTGACCTTGACACTCTCATTGAAGGTCAGCGAAGACACTGGTTTACTGCTGCTGACTATCTTACTGCCATCACAGCCTAAAAGCGAAGCCCAGGAACCGGTACTCATGTTCCAGATGCTTCTGAACATTGGCTGCACTGGTCCTCACTGTTCCCAAGACTTCTCCTCCCATGACTGTGGTAACACATGCAGGCTTGCTTCCCTCCCCTGTGCATCTCAAGGCAGTTGTTCTGGTCTTCCTGGCCCACCCACTAGGGTATCCACTTTTCTGTTCCCTCCCCCACCCCCTACCCTCACACACACTTCTTTCTGGAGTCCTCATCTGTCTCTGTCTATCCTACCCTTTAGTGGCCTCACTCATTCCCCTTGCAGGGAACTGGGGCATCTGAGATGTCCTAGAGAGCCCCATCCCCCAGCCTAATCTTTTTATGTTCCAACATTCAAAGCCTTTCCTCCTCCCAGTTTGAAACCATGCACTTGGATGTCATTTTTTCACCTTGTGCTTTTGTCAGTTCCTTTTTCTCTTTGCCCTCCTCTCTGTTTCTCTGCTCCCGCATCTAATGATACACTTGGACCCCTGACTGTTGGCTGCTTCTTTCCTCTCCCCACTCTTTGTCTCCTGCAGTCGATTGCCTAGGTGATATACTCCTCACATGCTGTCCACACCTGCTGGAAAAACCCAGCTCCTTGCTACTCCCTTCCTCCTTGAAGATGTTCACCACTGTGTTCTCCTCTGCTGTGGTCTCCAATGCTCTCAAGAGGCTACGGTGGGATTTGAGCCTTCATTTCACCTTCTCACTCAAGCTTCTGAGACCAGTGTCCTGCAGGTCTCCACGGGGCCTCATAGGGGAAGTTCTGTTCCCTGTCAGAGAAATGCTTTCATCCGGTCTCAGCTCTAGTCTACAGTTCATGGCTTTTCCTCTGCCAGGCACCCTTTTTTTTTTTTTTTGGTCTGCTTCCATCTCTATGTCATGAAACACCAAATCAAACAATATACAATTGAAAAGGAAACACTTTGTATTGAATTGTCATTAAAGAATTATAAACGCAAAATTGTGAGACTAAATAGGGCTTCTTTATGAATGTTTGAAATCACAATCTTGTGGGAGTATCACTTAAAAACCACCATTTCAGCGGGGTGCTGGTGGCTCATAACTGTATTCCCAGCCACTCAGCAGTCTGAAATCTGGAGAATCTGGATTTGAAGTCTATCTAGGTAGAAAAGTCTGTAGGCTCCATCTCCAATTAGCCAGAAAAATGCTGAACTGGAGACATGGCTCAAGTGGTAGAACACCAGATGAGGAGCGAAAGGCCCTGAGTTTGAGTCCTGGAAACAGAACACACACACACACACACACACATATACAAGGCCTACCATTTCAAAGTGGTTACCAATGTGAAGAATGTTTTGATAGATCTGCAACAACTATAATGTTGTTTGAAATACCTATGTTTTCCATTGCTGACAGTCTCAGGTCCTGTTGACTCACTGTTGTGTTGTTGTTTGTTTTAGAAGGACAGGATATGCTAAGGCTCAGAGATTTGTAAGATTAAAATGTGACAGTTTCCCACTTTAGTTAATGATTCCCTTTGATTAAGAACCACAAAATTAAGCCAGGTATGGGTGGCTCAAACCTATGATCCCAACTCCTTGAGAGGCAGAGATTGGGAGGATCATGGTCCAACACAAACCTGAGCAAAACGACACTGACCTCAATCAAACAAGCCAAGCATGGTAGCCCACATCTGTGATCTCAGCTATGTGGGAGAAAACGCTATCTCCATTGGCCAAACGGAAGCCTATCTTTCATCAAGGTTCATTTATGCCCAGTTAGACTCTCCCTTTATTTTTGATATGGTATTTCTTCACAGAAGATTACATTTTAATTTAAAGCACAATGCATATTTGAAAAGACTTCTCTGTCCTTGAAGACAGCAATTCCTTCCTTACAAGGAAGCCAAGAAATCCAAAAGCGTTACTTGAAAAACATCAAGTGTGCTTTGATTGCTGGCAGCACTTCCTGTGTATCAAGTTGAGGGCTCAAATGCACACAGGATAAGCAACTTAAAAAGGAAGCGCAGCAAGGGATGTGGGGTTTTGGGAGAGAGGGAG